CACCAAAACAAAAACAAAAAAAAGGGGGGGGGGGTCCAGGAAAAAAGGACTGGTCGTGCCAACCCAGCAGGTCTTCCCGATTAACTTCCTCATTTTCAGGACCATTGCTTGACCCTTCTCCAGCTATATCTGGGAGCTGTGCTTTCACTGGTTCTTCTGGGCCCTGTTGCCAATGATGGTTTTGTAAATATCAGATCACACAAGATTGAAGTTATACTGCTAGATAAAATCAATACTATGCATTCTCTAATTAACATACGCACCCAACATTTTTTCCCCATTGTACATATACATCAAAGTTTTTGAAGCTCAGACTAGGCAAATAGCGCTCTGAAAAATATTATGTACCTGTAGATACTATAATTTGCGTGCACTTGTCATCAGCTCATTCAGTGCAGTGTGTCACATTATTAGGACGTGCTGTGATGCTATACGCTTGAACTACAATGCATTATAATTAATATGTTTAAACTGAATGTAAATATTTAGAGCTTGCACTGAAATTTACAGAAGAGATTCATTGATATGATTAGTAGCTAATGTCTAGAAATTGAAGTACACCAGGTGTTCTTGCTAGCTCTTTCAGTGTTTGAATTCATCTATGCCTCCTGCCACTATTTTAACACTGTTTTCATAACAGTGCCCGGACTGGAAAAATCAGAGTGCAGTCCCTGAAGATTGGCTTGATATCTCTTTCTAAGGGTCTCCTGGAAGAAAAGTACAGATGTGAGTATGTTTTAGATATAATTCTGCAAAATCCATAATTTTGCCAAAGCTTGGCAAGAGATGAACTAGAGTTGATTAGAGCAAGTGCATTTCTCTATCCTATCTATCTATTCATACACACACACACACACACATGTATGTATGTATGTACTGTGTGTATCACAGAATATTACTAAACTGTTAATTTACATTCCCTTTTGATTCTGTATTTGAAGTAGGGGAATATTCCAGCTTCAGTTTTAACAAAGTCCACATTCAAATAAAATGTTCAGTCAAAATGTAGTGCCCAAAATCATTAATATTACACTACTTTCTTCAGAATCTCCTTCACTGTGTAAGCCAGGGTAGTCCATGCTGTGCCCCAGGAACCACTGTACCCTGATACCAGGTGTTCTGGTAATGTTAAAGGAAACTGACCTATAGACAGAGGGCAGCTTCATTTAGCATTATATGTATTTGTAGCAATGCCTTTGGGCCCAATAAAGGAGTTCTGTACTGTCTACTGGGACAGTAGTGTGTGTGTGTGTGTATTAGATATATACACAATACCCAGTGAGGCAGTTTAATTCAATCAATATAAATGGATATTTTGTAACAGAGCATGACTACTATGGCAACCACTTTATGAACAGGTAAGTCTTCAATGGGAACCATTTTTGAATGCCCCACCACACCTTCTCATAATTCTAAATGTACAGTGAGCTCAAAAGGGTTGTCTAGCTCTGATGTAAACATTCTTTACCACCTCCTTCTGCACATATACAGGTTCCTATTTGCTATTTTTATTACTTTACTCGTTGGCTGATTATCAAGTAATACACCTCTATACGAGAAGAACAAATAGTACATGTAGTACATGACAGGATCAACCCCTTTTCTTCCTATAGAATCAAGGAAAATATAGTTTGGACAAAAATTGTAACTTTATGTACAATTCAGCTGTTACAAATTTCATCAATTTTTAAAAATGCCTTTCAAGTAAATATTTGAAGACAATAAAATCAAAGGAAATTAAGTTACCAGAAAACAGTAGGGGGCTTCTATTTATTAGAATATTTATAAACTGCCATTCCTCTTTACATAACCAACTAGTCCTATGAAGTAAAGCAAATAAAACGATTGAATTAGTAATGACCCATCTCATCAGAATGGATTATGTTCTATTTTATAAAGTAGTTTTGACGTTTGTTGTTCATACTAGCATTGGCCTTTTAGATTATATTAAGCTAAATTTCTATCTGAATAGAATTAGTAAATAACAGATGTTAACAGTGGGCATGCAATGGGCATTCTGTGTAATACTAGTCTGTAGAATAAAATAAAATGCCATTCATTAAGGGGTTTTTGTTTGTTTGCTTGCTTGCTTCTTTACTAGTATATGATCCTTTGGGCCATATTTGTTTAATAAAAAGGAATTCTTACGAATCCTATTTTGATGTCCCAATCCTCTTTTCTCAAGATATGCACAGCTCCCCCTTTTCAATTATTTAGGAAGTTCCTTAAGACTTGGCTTTGTTCCCAGGCCTGGAGATAGAGTGTTTGTGGAGCCCCTTTTTAATGTTACTGTTGTTTTGTCCGGGCACTTATATTTTTAACTATGTTTTTAAGCTGTGTATTTGAAATATTGTAAGCCGCTCAAAGCCTTTTCAGAGTTGGTTAGTTCTAAAAATCCACTCAGTCAATCAATCAAAGTAAATAAATTAGTCCAGGTTGCATACAGTGAAGAGAATTGGGTCTGAAATCAAACAGCCTATATTCTTGGTTGTATCTTCCACTGTTGGGAAGGTAGCAGCTTCAAGCAGGGATCCTCAACTGTTTTGTGCTGGTGGGCACACTGGAATTTTTATAACATGCTGTGGGTGCTCTTGCAAAATAGCTTTTAGCCAGATAAAGTATCAGTTTACCAGATTTACGTGCAACCTTCTCTACACCTTCCTCTGCATGTCACTCCAAATAAGCCTGGTTATCTTTATTATGGGAAGTGAACATCCTTCCAAACAAACAAAATACAGTAAGTGCTCAGCTAGAGCTGTCCATCATTTTTAACAGGCTCAGAAGTACTATTGGAAAAAAGTTTTGTTTTAGAGTATGCAAGCTTCTTTTTTAAAATTAAAATACTTTTTTTAAAAAATCTGATAGTCACATGAGTAGGGAACTTGGTGAGCAAAAAGGTACAATCCTCAGGACCACTGGAACTTTCAGGCGCTATTTTGGAAACCCCAGACTTAGAAATGAGTATTGTGGCAGAAAAAGGACCACCTGCACAATTTAATTTGGGTGAAAATATTACTGAATCAAAATGTGGATATACGAAAAAAGAGCAGTTGGTCACTGGCCAGTGAAACAACAGATTCTTGGAATACACTATAAATTAACCTATACTGTTTAGTTAACTCCAAATATGATATCTAAATATTGTGTCACTTTCCAGTGGAACTCAGAGCCAAAAAATAGAGAATGTTCAGATCATAAATCCTTTGATTCTTAGATTGACAAACTTCTGAAAAGTTACATTTCACATACATTGACTGATTTTACAGAAGTAGCTCTACCTCAGGATTGATAAAGATGATTGATATGGGAATACTTTACAATTTGGGAGAAAAGTTAGTTTGATCTCAGTTTATCTGCTCATAAATATGTCTTAAGCAGCTGTATAAATCATTAAGTTTGGGAAGAATGTGCTGAAGCCATTTCAGATAGCTGAAATGGAAAGGCCTGTCAGATTCTTCTTTCTTCCATGTGGTATTTAGATAGATCTGGTAAACAAATAGTATACAAGCCGTTATACAGGAATGTGCTAGGTATTTTATTGTGTGAATGCTAACTTTGCAATTTTTTTATATGATCTTCTCCTATTTTAACCCATAACAGAATATTGTTTTAATAAAAAGAGAAAGATACGTTTTCTGTAGAGAATGATTTAAAAAAATAAATACTCTGTGTTTAAGACCCCAGAAAGAGACTTATGTTCTCAGGGAGAAGGCTATAGTATAGCTTGGTGCTATACTTCAAAAACTCTTTAGTAAACGGCCTAACTAAAACAGAAATACAGAAAGAGATTTTTGAATAGAGAACAATTGTTTATATTTCCAAGAATACACACATTTTAACTTGCCTTTGACAACAAACAATATTGATGATTGCTATGGACTTTGTTTTCCCCCCAGTTTTGGTGTAGGATGGAACTTTGTTCCTTACTTCCTGTATGATGGTGTCTGCTTTAATAGCAAATATGTCATTATGGAGGTCAGAGACAATATTAGCTAAAGGTTAAAACAAAGCTGAAATAGCCCTAGAACACCTCTTCCTCATTCTCAGTGTTGAGTTTAGATTGATTTTTTTGTGATCTTCCTTTATTAACAAATAAGAAATGATAGAGAATGGCAGATATTAAAGCTGTGCCCGAAATACAAATATACAGGAATTTTAAGAAAAGCTCCATTTTGTAGTTCTACTCTGTGTACTCAGGAAGAGATGGCTTAGAGCCATCTGCAGGTAAAATTGGAAGGAATAAGAAATTGCTCCTTCTCAAGTGGTAAATGGAAAAGTGAGGATCCTCTTTTTCCCCCCTTGAAGATCTCTTTGGTGAAGTGGCTGGACCTACCGAAATGTGTGACCAGAGGCAGCTTGGCTTGTTACTGCACGATGCTATCCAAATCCCACGGCAGCTTGGGGAAGTAGCCGCTTTTGGAGGCAGTAACATTGAACCCAGTGTCCGCAGCTGTTTCCAGCAGGTAATTGTGTCTGTTTTCATTTCTAGCCACTTTAAATGCAGTGCCTTCAGATATTAGCTAGGTTCACGGGGGAGCCTCTTTCAGACCTTCTGAAGATTTGAAGCTCCCTTCTGGAGGAAGAAGGACATTGGGGACAGGGTTTGTACCCCCATTGCTGACACCCTTCCCCATGATCATTTGAAGTGCCTGAAATGGGCTTTAGTCTCATAAGCTTGTAGCATTAACCTGATTTGAAAGGCTTAAACAAAAGGTGCTTGAAAAACAGTAGAAATAATCATCATTGCCTTTTCTTCTTGGACTGAATATTGGTGGCAGTAATGTTTCCTTACCTTGTGCATTTGTACCATTACTATGCTTTTTCTTTGCTCACCTGGGAAGTTCCAATAGAAGAGACTATACATAGCTCAGGGTTGAACTGTGGAGTCCTTGGTACTCTCTGAGCTTGGTTGTTTGCTTGCAGACATTTTGTTACCCATCTAGGTAACATCATCAATACTACTGAGTGTGGCATACATATGAAGAGTTGCTCCCTGTTTATATACAGATCAGGCTTGGAATAGCTTGTGGAAAGTAGAATTGATAGGAAACTTAAACATGAATGTTAAATAATTTCTGATCTCATACTCATTTACCAGAATAATAATAAGCCAGAAATTGATGTAAAGCAGTTCATAGATTGGATGCATCTGGAGCCACAGTCAATGGTATGGTTGCCAGTTCTACACAGAGTAGCAGCCGCAGAAACAGCAAAACATCAAGCCAAGTGCAACATCTGTAAGGAATGTCCAATTGTTGGCTTTAGGTAAGTAAAATAAAATGATTTTTATGAATTACATCAGTAATGTCATTGACTATATATTCCAACCTCATTGCAGACACCATGCTAGTAACTCATTACTTAATGTATTATAGGTTAGAGACGGGAGGTACCTTAGAGGTCTTCTAGTCAGACATCCCTGCTCAGTACAGGATGCACTACAACATCTGTGTAGTGATGACCATCCAGCCTCTGTCTGAAGATACCTAGCAAAGGAGAATTCGCCAATTTATATGGCAGCCTGTTCCATGGCTGGTAGCCCATACAATCAGGAAGTTCCTCCGGATAGCTAACCTAACCCCCTTCTTTGTAGTTTTAATCTACTAGTTCTGGTCCTGCTGTGTGGGGCAATAAAGAATTAATCTACTCCATCTTTTGTATGGCACCTCCTCAGATGTTTGAAGACTGCCATCATAATTTCCTTCAGTCATCTTTTCTATAGGCAGAACATGACCACTTCTTTTAACCATTTTTCTTAGGGCTTGGTGTCTAGATCCTTCACCATCTTGATAGTCACCCTCTGAACCCTTATGATTTGGGAACAATGAACACAAATCAATGTGTATTTATAACTTTTATTTATAACCTTTAAAACAACTTAACCGAGTTTTTGAATTGAAATTGCCATCTTACAAAGTAGTTTACTGTAAAAAAAAAAATCACATATTAAATGTAGAAAATGTTTGAGAAGATTACGTACAGATTCTTCTATAGTTGGTGGGGATTAGAATGTAAATAGGTTGAAACCAGCCATAATTCACGGCAACCTTGGCCAGTATCATAAAGTTGTTTTACAAAGAGCATTATATCCCTATATGAGTACATTATCACAATGATGCAGTGTTTGCATTATGCTGGGGAAATTGTAACTCAGTCTGTGTTATCATTTGTGATAGTTTTGTTCTTATGTATAAGACTTTTGTGCTCAAGTTTTCTCTGAAATGTTTATGATGTTAGTTCAGTCATTGAATCTGAATCCATTAAAAGTGTTGTTATCAGTGTTCCCAAAGTTGTATGAAAATGTGTAACAAAAATTATTTAACAGTAGCAGGTTTGCAGAGCTGTCTGTTCTAAGGAAGGTTTCTTCTCCATGAAAGAAGGTAAGGAGAGACAGCAGATACTGACAGTTCAGAACTGGTCTGCTTGGCAGAGAAAGAGAATAGTTGTACATACTGTGCCCTCTTCCATAGGCATAGACCTAATTATATCAGATGGAGAGCTCTCTAAGTGACTGGAGTTAGCTATAGTGTTATTAGTACAGAATGTCCTTCCTTCCTTCCTTCCTTCCTTCCTTCCTTCC